AACAATGAAAAGAAAATTTTGCATGTTTTATAGGACAAAACTGGACATCTCTTCTGAGTTTAGGAACATTGTTACATATTTTAGCTTATTTTGTATGTATAAAAACATACAAGTATTGTGCCTTCACTCAGGCAAGTGCATTTTTTGTGCCTTGCGCCTCACGATGTAAGCTTCTATCACCTACTTTGGCTTCATGTCTTTGACCTCAAGGCATATAGTAAGTATAAGAAACATTAAAGAAAAATATTATATGAAACTGGCTCTAATCTAACAGAAAAGATGGTTGAATGCAACTATGTAAACTTAATTTCTAGTCACAGTATTGGCAAACAAGAAATGTATTCTTGAAAAGTTTAATCATACTTGTCAATGTAATCATATGTTCAACTCCACTGTCACTTTCAGAAAAATGGAAGTCTTTGAAGTCCCTAGATCATCCAATGCAACACATCTTTTTATTAAGGGCATAGGACAAAAAGGAAAAACTAATGATGCCAAAAGCAATGATGCAGTGCATGGTTGGACATTGCTTCATGCAGTGTGTGTGTGTGTGTGAGAGAGAGAGAGAGAGAGATAAAACCTTACATCATTGTCATTATCTCGACGTTCATCGTGGTATGACTCTCTAGTGTCTTTTCCATAAAAAGCTTCCAGAGATTCATTAAGGGCATTACCACTTTCAGGAGTTCTCGATTTTGCTTTACTATATGAAGGTTCAAGTTTCCTTTCTCTAATCTGAGGAGGTCTTGCAAAACTCCGGACGGTACCTGTACTATTTGGTCCACCAATGCTGAAGTCCCATCCAGCACTTTTGAATGTTTTCCCCGGATTACTGCTGAGCAAACAAGTCAGTAAAAATCCAATCAAGATTAAAAGGAAAAGTACTTCTAATCAACACTATCAACCCACCTAGCTCGAACAGTTTCATCACCTCTAAAATCTCTTGTCACCTTCAAAGTGTCAGTTGCTTGTCCTACAAACCTGGAGCCATTTCTGGGGGTTTCTCCATCATCCTTTAGTTGGTACTTTGAGCGCTCTCTATTGAGAACACGAAACACAAGCATCTTAACTACAATAAACAATGCAAGACTGATACTCTTCTCATGACATGTCAGAAACATAATTGATGTCATAAGCATAGTGCACTCCAAGGTGCTTTGACATCTCAAAATCATGTCAAATACAGATTCCAATTCAAGAAGGTACCTAATTCTCTCCAGAAGCTTTTGACTCTTCCTAGCATTTTTTATCAAACGATGCTTGAGCAGTTCCTTGGCACTAGATCTCTGAAATTAAATAGATAAAAAGAAAAGCAAAAGCAGTTTACAGCATTCAGAAATAATTAAGCCAGTAAACCTAGGATCGCTTAAACACATCAGATGAGTTTTAAACACCAAAATAGTCCACTTTACTAAATTAATAAACCTTACCCTACTGGTTGGGGTCAAACACGAAATCCATTTCCATGTAGAAAATGAGAAGTTCTTCAAACACAGGGAATTGATGAGTGACCAAAAGAAAATAATTCTATTTCAAACATAATTACCATGAATAGTCACAATCTTATCTCTGACTATTAAAGTGGAAAAGTCTTTGTACCCATTACAAAGAAAATCGACATGAAAGAGGGGCAAGCACAGTGAAAACATAAGTGTTTACCTCCGAGGGTACTTTCTTCAAACATAAGGAAACAAATTCCTTCATGGGGCGGGAAAAATGTTCTTCCAACTGCAGGATAGAAATTTCGATTATATTTAAAGCATAAATATGATCATTCCATAATGAGAATGAGAACATAAGAATAAATCATTTAACATGAACTTATCACGATAACAAAATCTATTGAGATTACCTGAGGTGGATTTTCTCGAGGTATTATGAAAAGAACTCTCATAGGATGAATGTCTGCAAGTGGAGGTTCTCCTTTGGCCATTTCAATCACAGTTATCCCCAAAGACCATATATCGGCCTGTATCAGCAAAGATCCACAATGACGGAATGCTCATTATTCAAAAAGGCTTAGCAAAGTGCATATGTGCCTAAGCAGATGGATGGCAGGTAATAGCAGTAACTCTAGAAAAATTTGAAAGCACAGATTTTATAAGTACCTTTTCATTGTATCCATCTGTATTCTGAATAACTTCTGGTGCCATCCAGAAAGGTGTTCCTACAAAAGTCTGAACATTGTTAACCATATTAGTTCATTAATGATCATTATGACAATGAGACTTGCATAAAAAATAATTGTGGGGTAAATGGAACACAGGCTGATTTTAATCCTTCTATAAATATCATTTCAAATTTCTTTCTAAGACAACCAGGGTCCTGGTGACACTGAATACACTGGAGGTAAAAATCAAACGGATGTCAAATGGAAATAGTGCCACAATACCATGCTAATGCAACCATTTGATAAAGCAGTTTACTTGCAGAAGACAATTTCCGATTCAACAAAAGAAAGATGCAGATAAAAGATAGAATGGGGAGTACATAAAAAAGAAGGTTGTAATCCAGAATCACTTGTATTCACGACCAAATTGAACCATGCCATTTCCAATTGCATGTCCAACTTTTAGTTTCAGAACATACAAACATTATAACCTTTTTCCATTCTTGCTCACCTAAAACCTTATCTCATATTATTAGAAACCATTTTTTCAATTTTTTTAATACATGGACTAAAAGCATTTAATAGTTTTCAAGAAACTAAATTCTAGTATAAAACCTTAAACTGAAAGCTTTTTTTTTTCTTTCAAAATCTAGATGTTAAATCAAATGTAACCTTTGATTTAGAATAGAAAGAGACAAATAAAAGCTTCTGTTAAATTTAAACTTGAGCAAAAAGGTTGTTATAATTTAGCTTCTAAAGAGCATAGATAGAGAGAGAGAGAGAGAGATCACAAAGTCACTTAAGGCATAGGATTTTTTTCTAAAAATGCAGCAGCAAAGCCAGAAAAATGGCATTCAGGCTTATTGGGAAAAGGATGTATCTTAAACAAAACACTGTACCTTTCTCCGTGATATTGTCTTTGTTAATTGTGCTGAAACACCAAAATCTGCAACCTGTTGCAAGGCCATAAAATTAACTTCCAGCATCAAAATGCAGATAGTTCACCCATTTTACACATACACTTGTAGCCACTCAATACAAAGAATACATGCCAAATGTGAGCCCATTAAAGAGAAAAGAAGTACCTTAACGTCACCATTCTCAGACAATAAAATGTTTGCCGCTGACAACAGAGATAGCAAAAGTGTTGTCAGTTAAAAAAAAAGTGTAAATCACTAAATTAATAAACTATTTCAAACAAATTAAAAGAAGGGTGAAAATAAATGAGACAGATTATTTAAAGCAGAGAATATGCCTATAGAAGTCTCTAAAACCAAATGTTCTAAATTTTAATCTTGCCTTTATAACAACTATATTTAAGATTATAAGGGGAGGTAAAGAAAGAATAACAATAATAAAAAAAAACACACACACACACAACCTTTGATATCCCTATGAATCTTTCCTTCATTATGTAAATATTCAATCGCATGCAGTAAATCCCGTGAGATACATGCAATTGACATTTCATCTAGTGGAGGGCCTGACTGGAGCTGCACATATATAATCATGTTATTCAGGAATCACGGCGCATCAAATCAGATAATAATCATGTGCCCCAACACAAATATATGCAGGCAAAGATCAGTTCATATGCAACCAGAGACGTACAAGGAAATTGGTGGTTGTATTGTACCCACATGAAATCAAATCAGAGACTGATATGCCGAGTATAGAACAGAATAAAAACAAAGGGACAACCAAGGTTTGCTAAGAAAATGGCTTGAAGTTGAAGGTAAAAGCACAGAAGAAAAAGTTTACACTACTAAAGAAAAGATGGTGGTGTTGCCTTCAAAATCTTGCAATTATTATTACCAACATCAGTTCAGTTGAAATTTAACCATAAAAAGTAGTTCTAGAGAATCTTTGATCACGACATTGACATTTTATTTTATTTAAAAAAACATTAACAACTCTCTTCCCATGCCAACAACAAGACTTTAATCCCTATGGAAAATATAGTTATAGAAATTTAAAGTAAAAAGCTACTGGATCAGGTTCTTGGGCTCACTAATAAACAAAGAACAATAACAAATCAACCCATTATCATTTATTTCAGTCTTTAACAATGACACTTCCTAATTTATTTCATGGTGGTACGTTTGCAATGATCTTTGCTAAGGCACTTTCATATTTACCAAAATCCTGGTCAAAAACATAGTGAAAAAAAAGAGAGTTCATGAGAAGTTGGAAGCAAAACTTCCTCCTTAATATTCAATCAAATTTCATGCACCAAACGTGTAGAATTAAGTAATAAAAGAAACTTACTAGGTCAGCAACGGAACCACCAGCCATGTATTCCATTATTATCCATAGTTTGGTTTGATGAAGATAGGAACCATAGTACTCAGTGATGTATGGACAGCGGCATTGTGACAAAACAGTGATTTCCTGGAACCAAAAACATACATATGGAAGACTTAGAAACCTACTCATTAATTACTATGGATACCAGCTCACAAGATAATAAGGATTAACCTTCTGGATGTCCTCAATTTCATCCTCACTGCAAAATGCATAAATAAATAAAGCATGCATAAGAAAGAGATAAAAATATGAACAGAAAAACAAACAATATGTGAATGGAAGTTGTTACTGCCACAGCTACTCGCAGTAAATAAAGGCATCTACAAACTCCCATGCAAATTGATTATATGTAATGGGACTTCTAGGATGAATGAGAAGATAAAACTTCTTTGCCGAACATGCACAAACTATTGATTCTTATTTATCAAGAAAAAGTGGTTTTCTTATCAGAAAAACTTACAAGTATACATAGACTGTGAGTATGAGGGGAAGATGAGGAAGAGAGAGCAAGTTAATGATTAAACAAATTGAAAATGAATGGAAGATCATAAACAAGACTTTCTTGCACATAGCAACCACTTACGATTCCTCTAAATCAATAACTTTAATAGCAACTTCTTTGTTCAGTTCCTTATCAAACCTGCACATCAAGAAAGGCATCAGCTACCCATCTCATTTTCATCAATTATGATTTATGACTTAAACAACCATAGCATGTCCAATGTGATTATGAGTAAGAACCTTTTGAGATGCCTTGCAGTATAACTAGCATTTACATACTAAAACAAGATAAAGTTCTATAAATGCCTCAAAATGTTAAATATAAAGTCAATTCTCAAACTAATTTAAAAAGAATCAATTTCAGTACTACAACAATTACCAACAGACCGGTAACCTAATAGTTACAAATGTAGATTGCATAACTGATATGCTGGCAACTTACATGATGTGTTCCCAGGTATTTGACATGCCATTAAAAAATAGGCAAATAAATAAGACAGTAAATGGCTCACTAGAGCACCCTGTTTCAAAAATATCAACCTAATCTATCTGATAAACTCAAGAAAAAGGGACAAAATACCAATTTGAGTTGATAGGAAAAAGAGATACCAGTTATTACATAAAAGGGCTCTATTCCAAGGGGGATTCAAACGAGATCACTCTGCAAGTAACTAAAACTCTATTTCTTGAGCACACTCAATATTTGTAACCTTGCAAGTCATTTCAATAGTTCATTGAAAACTAGCAATCCTCCTAAACAGTACACAAATTCTTTACTTTTCACCAGTCATTTTCCGACCCTATTTTACTATTACATAGACTAACTAGATATTTCCATAAAATCCTAACTGAAGCGTATAAGATGTCAATTCATGGCTCATTCAGCACCAAACAAGCCTTGAGTCTCCTTTTTTCCCCATTCACAGGAAGATCCTCTTTTACTTTATTTTTAAATCAAAAATACAAATTCAAATTTTAGAAGCATGATATATTTTCAACTTGGACACTAAAATATATAAATTTAACAATAGCTTTGGTATTATTTACCACTATTCCACTAATTTACTCCAACCAGGTCAATCAAGTCATGAATTAAACAGCAGTAACAAAGTAAAAACGTGCGCAACATATTACATTCAGTCAAGAGTAAAACCATTACATTCGCTTGCAGTTCATTTCTTATGACAAAATGTCAATAAACAATGCAAATGCAGTCAAGCAGTGTGGTAACCAAAGAGATCGATATAGACTTACGCCTTATAGACATCTCCAAAGGCTCCTCTACCAATCAACTCGAATTGACTAAATCTAGACCCTGCTGCTTCCTGCAAACCTGCTATATCATCCATTTTTACATACGAACCCCTTTGACATCAAAAATCAAAACCAACACAAAATCCAATCCCTCAAAACATTCACATTCCACCCATTCTTCAATTACAGTTCAATACGCAGTTCCATATTGCCAATACCAGCCTTGAGAACCCAATCCCTGAAACAGAAATTTAAAACAAACCCCATTAACATCCTCATATAGAAAACACGTCTGTAAAAAAACACACACACACACACACACACACCGGGAAATCCCACATTTTAAGATATATAGACCCGATTAAAAGGAAAATCTTTTTTACCAAAAATTGAAATCGGAAAATGCCCATAAGCTCTTAAAGTGAAAGCCAAGCATAAACAAAGAGGTGCCTCAAAGAAAAAACACACAATAAATAAATATTTCATTTTCTATTAGGTGAAAGAAAGGATATATTAAAGCGACATGCGAACAAAAACAAAAAGAATCCTTGACAACAAATTTAACAACTACCCATTACAAAATTTCACTCTCTCCTGATAGAGAGACCACAACATCCACATGTATCTTACAAAAAAACACCACAATAACGACAACAACTTGGCTTTTCCCCCCTTACATTACATTCTTTAATTCGTGTTGTAGAAATGTTGTTTTCTCTTAAAATTTTATCTCTTCGGTTACGGAAGATCTTTCCCTTTCGTTAATTCGATGATTGTCTCTCCCAGTTTTCATCGAGAGAGAAAAAGAATGTATTTTTTTTTATTGATTTCAGAGCTCTCATAGAGATCGAAGAATAAAAACAAAAAATGTTCGTTAATGGAGGACTTCGCTTTGTAGTAAATTTTTTTGGGTAAAGTTAACAAATGGTCCATCTATAGGGCAATTCTTCATTTGGGTAACGTACATCAATGGTCACCTAATTATTTATATGTTTCAAACGTTTCCTTTTTCATTAAAAGTTTGATCGTCGTTTGAATTGCATATTAACTTATTGACTAAAATATGATAAATTTATATTTTAATAATGTATACTATAACATCGTTGCTTTGAAGTACTGGCTCGAGATCATAACATTTCAAGCTCTAACTTAATGACATAATGTAAATAAAGGGTCGATCCAAAAAATACAACCCAAACAATTTTGGGATCATATTTTATTATATTCCAATCAACATGTTAACGTCCAATTCAGACAATCATAAATCTTTCAATGATAAACGATGAGTTTGGAACGTATGAATAATTTTTGACTATTTTGTAACTTTTAATAGTTGGAATACTCAACAAAATAGTATCATGTATTTTAAGGACCATTTTTCACTTTTATTAGTTAAGAGACTCAACAAGATAATGCCCCATAGTCAGTGGATCATTTCTGTATTTTACCCTAATTTTTTGCGGGTAAATTTTATTTCTCGATGATGCAAAACGCATCGTTTTAATCCGTTTTCATTTCTAGACTCAAATGAGCAGAGCCATAGTAGCCCACTTGGCTCAATATGGCTAAAAAATCCCTGTGCCCCAACTGGGCTGACCCATTGTCCACCTTTCAAAGAAAAGTCATCTTAATAAAAAAATAACAATAACCTAAAACATATTATTGTAATATTAATTCAATTGATACAATTATTATCATAATATCCAGTAGGAAGTAAATTCGATCACATTGAAAATAATAATCATTAATAAATAGCTTTTTATAAAATTAAATTTGAGTTGTAATTTTAAACTATCAAGTGGACTTAATAATGAAAGAGAATGTTGTTTCCTGAGTTCCTCAATTGGTTTTTCATCTGCAGAGTGTATGCACGTTGTGATTAACCACATCATAGTTAAACATATATATATTTTTTCTCATAGTTGAATTACATGTCGCCTCCATATCTAGAAGATATTTATTTAGTTATATTATCGATCTATCTCTATTTTGGACCATCAACGTAGATATAGATAAACATTTGCAATCATCGGAGATAGGTCGCGTTTGAGTTTTAGAAATATCAATTTCTCAACGGGCTATCATTGTTATATGCATTTTATGTTAACGTTGATGATGCTATCTTTCACTGTCTATAATGATGTTTATTTGTATTTATCGTATGTCTAAAAAAATTTATTGAAATTTTAATATTTTTGATGATTTTTTTATTCTCTAATGTCTAATTTATACAAAATTGATGATTTTAGGAGAAATATCAAATTTATGTAATTAAGTTTATAATGATGGCAAGCTAAGGGGAATCTTTTGCAGCCAGTCAAATAAGATTGGTAGTAAGTTTTGTCTTGATTGACTACATTTAGCACGATTGGATCATTCAATAAAACAAATATATTTTTACCAAACATGGAAGGTATTTTTGATGAATTGTATATTGCATATAAAATGGTTTTCAAATCACTAAATTAAGTTGACAATTATATTTATAAAATCTATTATTTTTTTTTCTCACCTATATTTAGGGGTTATTTGGACTTAGTGCTTGTAATTACATCACATAATTTGGTCAACATGACTTTATTTTAATCATTTTATATTTGGTTAGATTTTTCATCTTATACTTATATGTTCCTTGTGTTTTTTTTTATTTAAGTGAAATTAAAGGATTATGATAAATTTAACTAAGAATCAATGACGAGATTCAAAAATATTTTTTAGAGTGAGCACATATATATTGATAATTGATTATTTTCGTATGAGGTAAACACAAATAAATTTTATGATGAACACTTATAATAAAATAAACAATTAATATAAATAAATTTGGATTTCATATCTTGACATATTAATTTTAAATTTATCATTTTAAATTTAAGAATGACATAATAGATCCACTTCAAGCTAAAAATATTAGAGGTGTGGATTAGGGTTGGTAACCTAGGTTAGGCTAAGAAAATTAATAAATTATTTTAATATATTAAAGTGGGACCCATTAAAAGATACGGTCATGGGGTTAGAGCGAGGCCTGGGGCGGTCAATGCAGAGCCTGGGATTTTGTTTTGGTTTTTCTCAACTCTTTCCATCTTCACCTATCCACTCGCTACCATGCACGCGCCAATTTCCCCTCGACTTCAATTTTGCATTATTATATTCTAATTATAGTTCCAGCACCTCTGTTATGTTGGAACTTGAAATTTGATCATATCTCTTTTAGTTCGATATAATTTAATCTGTTTTATTATTATAACATTATCAGCATATATCTAAATTAATAACATCATTAGTTATTGTCATTAAGTTGAAGACACAAAAGCTTTTTAGAATAACATTAAGTAATAAATATTCAATTGTTAAACTTATTATTGATCGAACATGGTTTATTGAACTTTCGAATAATATTGATTGTAATCTTATAAATAAATCTACAAAATTTCATAGAAAAGCTCAAGATGATACTAATTTGTTCCTACCAATAATGTTATAGAAATAGAGTGTCGTATTAGAATAAAAAAAGAGTAATTAAAATTCCCAGCATAAGAGACGGACTAAATCCAGAATTAGACCTATTTTTATTGTTAGTGAAGCGTGGATGAAAAGGGCGCGAGTAGATGGAATGGAGGGTTCTCATGTAGGGGACGCAGTGCCCCGCAATTCGTGCGCTTTCGCTTTTCTTTATGAGAAACGATGCACCGACTCACTGCCGATGTCACGTGCGCACGTGACCTCTCTCAGTACTCATACGCCTTTTTCTGTTTTTGCAGGTTTATATATTTAAATATTAACTAATTAATAGTTGGTTGTCCCTTTTTCTAATATATATGGGGTAAGGGGAGGTAAAATAGTAGGTTACTCCCAACACCAGGTTGAGAGTAGCTTCCGTAAGAGACTTCCGAATTATGAAATGCCCTCCGTGGGACTCGATCCCACGACCTCAAAATTAAGAACCTTGTGCTCTACCAACTTAGTTAAATATTAACTAATTAATCTCTGTTTAAAATCATTTTGTTTGTACTAATTTATTACGAGCACCCCCTTTCTACTTTCCAGACTCCTCAAAGACATTTCTACCCTTTTCAAATATTGTGGATTTTTTTCTATTTTCAGTTTTTTTTCGTTAATGTTGATAATTATATAATATTAAAAAGTGTTACTTTTTCATATCACATATTAATTTTATTAAATATAAATATTATCCTAATTATAATTGTTGTAAATAAATTTTTAAAAGTGTCGTGGATCGAATAGTTGATTATAGACGATCTAACATATCCAATCATGTTTTTTAGGTGTCTCGGCTACCGCCTATCAACTTTAAGGATGTCTTTTAGTACCACAGTCTTCTCCGAGATGTTTGCACGTACCAAATAATATTAGTGAGGAATAAATTGTTGTTAATCTATAAGATTTTAAGTTCAAACATCACATATACAAGATATAAACATTTAATACTAAATGATTAAGTTTTTAAACAAATAAATATTACATTATATTCACACCAGATTAATCAAAAAATATATTAACATTATTCAAAATCGAGATTAAGTCGAGCGTAAACATGAGTCGTCAGTGACAATAATGACGTGCGTATATTAACTTTATCTTTAATAACTCAATGAGGGCATGTTTAGAAGATTATAATTAAATATTTTAAAAATCTTTGTATATAAATTGTGTTGAATTTTATAAGATTATAATCAAAGACAATTATTAAACTTGATCGGACCTATATCAGTACACTGTCAATACAATTTTTAACTTTTGAAATACTTGAGATCTCGACATTCAAAATTGTCTTTAATTATCACATTAATAAGAGTTTGATCAAACTTAAAAATTGTATTTCACAGTTCAAAAACAATATTTTGTTTTCATTATATTCTCAAATCACACATCGTTTATATTTAAAGTGTTTAAATATAATATTTTAAACATATTTTCATTGAGTTGTTGAAGACGATACCTATACACGAGCATCAATACTGTCAATGTTTGGCTTTGCTCGTGCAAATAAATGCCATTGACACGTACTACCCACATTATTTGTTAAAAAAATAAAAATCATACAATTTTTAACTAATTATTTTTATTTCTTTACATTTTAATCATGAACGTAATCCTGATAGAAGAGACAATTCAAAAAAAAAACACATCACGTAGACAAATGTATACTCTATAAAATGATATTTTAAAAGACATTTCTAATATGGCACGCTTTTACCAAAAGGATGTCATTTTATTCAATAATATTGTTTGGGTGTAATTTAAATAAAAAACTTTATAAAATATTATTATAATAAGATTACCTCTCAAATGAATATCATAATATTACGTATGATAAAACTTGAAAGTAAATACTTAAAACCGTTAAGCAAACATTTGCAAACACGTTGCTTGGCATCATCTGGTTTGGTTTTCCGGGCGCATCCTTAAACACAGTATAATTCTGTGGATGACCATTTTGGA